TGGTTTCCTGCCTCTTCTCCAAGGGCAGAGGGGTTTTTATCTTTCTTTGCTCTTCCCCTAGTAGCTTAAGGATTTTGTTCTGTAATGGACTAGGGTCCTGGCAGGACTTCATGCCTTTTCCATGTCTACTCCCCTCCTCCAGGTCTGTACCCTCAACGATGGTTTTCTGCTCTCTACTGCCCTGTCCCCCCTCTTTCTCATGGACGCCCAGTAGAGGTCTATAGAGAAGAACCTGTGAGTGGGTGCAAACTGCCCTTGTATCTGTGGCTCCCAGGGGTTCTCCACTCTCACCCTGTTCACACTCAGTCTCTAGAAATTTTTGAAACTCATAACTCAGTTCTTCTTACCCACTTGTATGGCACGCAGTGTCCCTTTTTCCTGTGCTTTGCCAGAGGTGAGCTGATGCTCACTTCCTCTTTTCCTTGTAAAAGTCTGTCTTTCCTTAGATTTCAGGCTCGTCGTTTGCTCTGTGACCTCAGCTATCTGATTTAAGAAAAGTTATGATTCTTTTAGATTGTCGGTCTTTTTCTTGTTAGGATGGGATTAACGCTTTCTCCAACTTTATATTCCTTGGTGGAAGCTCCTTATCCATACCTGCATCTTGGAAAAGTGAGACCGTAGTCAATCCAGAGACCAGTCAAGAAGTTAACCCCAGATGGGTTGATTTCTTGTCACAAGGAAGACCTGCAAGCTGTTTTGTTTGGTTTTTTAATGAAAATTTATGGGTTAGTTACCCATGTGTTTGAGTGGCTGAGATCCACAGATATTTATGCAATTCCTACTGTGTGTGAAGTGCTGAGCTCTTGGTGGCCTATGACAGGCTGGCAGCAACAGAAACTGAGGCAAGCAGAAGGTCAACCCTATTGTGAGCCAGGACCCCACACCGTGGTGGGGTGAGAGGGAACACCTATAGACCCCAAGTGAGATTTCCACAAAGTTAAATAGATTCATCTAGTGTGAGTTTCACCTTTGTTTTTCTTTTGATGTTAAGGTGTTTATATTTGGCGAAAGTGAAAATTGTAGACTTGGTGCAGCTCTGTAGGTGTGGATGTGTGGGTTAATGATACTGTGGTTTCACTCAGGATATACCGGCTAGGACCACCAGGCAGGCCCCTAGTTCCCTTTGATGCTCAACAGACAAAGCACTGATACGATTTACCCCTTCAACGCTGCTCTCGTTATTCTGCCACTGTGGTCACTCCCAGCCCCAGTGCATGTGTCTCTTCCCACTCTTGCCTGTCATCTTCTTAGCTCTGCTTTATTGCTTACTTGCCAGGCTCTCGGGGAAATGCTACATCTTCAGGGTGCTAGAGTGCAGGTGAGCAGCTGCGATGCTGTGGAGGGCGGAGCTGTTGACCCTTTGCCTTGGGAAGGTTTCATTACACAGGAATGTCACTGTGGTGGGCTTGGCTCTTTGAGGTGTCGAGTGTTTTTGGAAGGCCTGCTCTGTTTTCAGCTCTGTGCCGGGCAGGCATTCCAGGACAGGTGGGGTGAGGGAATGACACAAAAAATGTTAGACTCAGGAGCTGGGGGCCTTCATGGGGATGTAAGAGAGAAGCTGGGCACGTCGAAGCAAAACTGCAGGCCATGTCACCTGTCAGAGCTACCTGGTGTCGGCACTGTCTGTACTTGGGTTCAGATCCCAGCTCTGTCATTTCCTGGGTGACTTAGAGCAAGTTATTTAACCTCCCGGAGCCTGCTTCTCCATCTGAAAAATAAGGTTAATAATGGCTGCTGTGAAGGGACATTGTAAGGATTAGATGAAGTGACATATATAAAACATTGGCACACCGTAGGTAGGAAGTAAGCAGCAATTGCCATCTTTCTATGCTGGGCTGGCAGTTTGTTGAGTGCTATAATGTCTGCTGATGAGAGTGGACAAGGAAGCTGAGAAGGGCTGTGTCTTAGTGAAGGTAAGATGGGGACCAGATGGCGTGCCCAGAGGAATGGCCCAGGGCAGGTAGGACCCTAGACTTGTGAGTGAAGCTTGAGGCTGGCAGTTACTTCGTATCTGAGTCTCAGTTTCCTTTGTTGTAAAGTGGACACAACCCATGAAAGCTTGGAGTAGATGGGAAAACATGGTGTTTCCTGCTGTAGCGCTTTCTCCCAAAGGCTGCCTCCCTGGCTTGGGCATGTGATTGCTGTCCTCAGTACTCCCTTGGAGCTGGCTTGCCTTTGGCTCAAACGGAGAGTTCCTGTTGCTAAAGTGAGTGGTACACACACATACACACACTCCCCATCGTCACTGTGCTTCCAGAGGCTCAGCTCGGCACTGTTGGTTTCTGGGCTGCTCTGCAGAAACACTCAGAATTTCCATTCCCTCCTTCCCAAGCAGCAGGCAGCACCCGTCTGGCCACTCCTTGAGGATGCTGGCTGTTAGGACAGAGGGCTTCCCAGCTCCCACCCTCCCTCTGGTGGCCTTTCCCGAGGGAGCCATAGGGACTCTGTGCACAGGAAGAGTGTGCATGTCTGAAAGGGGGGTCCTTTGGAAGTAGTGGGTACAGGACTACGGTTGCTTCTCAAGAAAGCCTGCTGGTGATTTCAGATAAGTGCTTCTCACAGCCCAGCCCTTTGAAGGGCAGGCCCACTCATCACCCCCATTTTACAGAGGTGGAAATGGAGGCCCAGAGAGGTTAAACCTCTTGCCCAGGGACACCTAACTGGCCAGTGGTGGAGCTCAGATGTTGACCAAGGCCTGCCTGAGTCATTGCTCTTCCTTACTGACTCTGCTGTGTCTGGGGGCTGCTGCTGTGAGGTGAAGGCTGGCTGGTGAAGGTGAGGCTTCTGAAACATTTCCTTTTGGGGTGGACTTCTGGCTGTGCATTGGGATCTGAAGTGCATTGATGCCTAGAGGACTGGAATTGCCCTAGCCCTGGTGGGCCAAGGTCTTACAAAATGGCCACAGCACCACAGCAGACATGCCCACGATGGGCACATGGACATGACTGTTCCTGTTTTCAAGAATACCCCTCTGGCTTGTGTCTCATATTCCAGTTTTTCTTTAACCACCCAGGTCCTGCATTTTTCCCAAGTTCAAATCGATGTGCACTTGAGAGTTTGTTATCTATGAGATTAGAATACTTTCCTAATAAAGGAAAATATGCAGATAGGGTCCATGTGCTGAATTTCCATCGTTTGCTGATTGGGAATCTTCTCTTGGGTTGATTATTTTCAAGGACTCTGATGCCCAGTCATGTGAGCATGTTCAGGGCAGAGCATCTTCCCAGAGATAGGCTGCTGTGGATTCGTCCAGGAGATGGGCAGACTCAGAGGAGATACATGCCAGCTGCTGATGGCAGGTGTGCAGGTAGCCTAGTGTTGTCAGGGCCAGGTGCTGGGCAGGTGTGCAGGCATCCTAGATGAGCCCCATCATAGCATGTATACTCCACTGGCTGTGGAACTGGGGGGTGGAGGGGTGCTGGGTGGAGTAGCCTTGGCTCTGTGGTGCATGGGTAGTTGGCAAGCTTTGAGCCCAGAGATGTCCTGGGTTTAGAGGAGAGAGGAGTGGTGAGTGCAGGCGGGAGATAGGGAGAGGCACACAGACACACGGGTGGGCGGTGGGCCCTGTGGGCAGGCTGGCATCGATTCATTCCACTCATGTGTCTTGGTCCCTAGAGATGCAGTAACCAGAGGAACAGGGCAGGGATGGGGCAGGCCCAGGCACACCAGGCCCAGGTGTGCAGGAGCACAGAGGAGCTTCTGATGGGGGGTGCAGGGTTGCAAAGTGAGTGGAGGACAGGATGCTCTGAGCAGGGGGAAGTAAGAGTGGATGAGGGCTTTCCCAACAGAGAGGACTGTGGGAGCTGGGTACAAGGGTGCCGAGGCAGGAGGGGAGCTGCAGAAGGTGGCAGGCTAGAGCAGAGTGCCTTGTCAAAGGGCTTAAATTTTCTCCCAAAGGCAATGGAGAGCCCTGGAGGACTGGCAGAGCTGGGGAGTGACATGGTAACACTGGAGTGTCCATTAGTGAGGTCGTGGTTGAAAACCCTGAGCCCCAAGTGTGGCTGCATTGATAGGTTACTGGGATTTTGGGGCTGGCTGAGAGCGTGAGCCTCACCAAGCGCGTCATTCCCACACAGAACAAATCCATAGAGGAATTGTAGGTTCTAAGACCAAAACCAGGGTGTCTGCCGACTGTGTCCTTGGGAACCGGATAGCTCTGGGAATCCTGCCCTACTGAACATGTGCACCGCGCCTTCTAGGTCAGGAGAAACTTTCATCTTTGAACAGAGCAGTCCCTGACTTGGGGGACATATGTTGGACTAGAACGAGTCCCGTTAGGAAATCGCTTGCCCTCGGTGGTGGTGGTGGTCGGTTTCTGCATTTGGGGACTGAAGATCTTAGGCAGAAACATGTAGCCCGTCACATTCCTGGAGTCTTGTTTGAAGTAGCCTGGGACCCCTGTCCTGTGGAGTCTGCCTCCCGCTGCCCATCTGGCCAGGACGTTCACGTAGAATCCCTCTTTTCCCAGCGGATCTGTGCCAGGGCAGGGTTGGAACATCCACCCACCAGTTCTGGGCTATCCGCATCCTAGGGGTGGGGAACCGGCATTGAGCTAACCAGAAGGAGGAGTGACTTCAGTGTTAGGCCAGGTTTCAGGGTCTCTGGACTCTGAGAGGCCTACGGGGGGATGCAGGCCATATGAAGAGTTGGAAGCTGGCCAGGCCTCCCTGAGGGCCCCCAAGAGCCAGCTGAGGGCACTCACTGGTCCATCTGCACATCCCTCCCAGGCCCCCTCAGCCGGACTGCCAGGTACTCTGATTCTGCTCCCCAGTCATGGTCTCTGCTTGGAAAGGAAGGCCTGGAAGGGGGTGTGCAGGCCCGGATGTGGAAGTGTGTGGCCCCGCCACACTTCATTTCTCACCAACATTTGGAACTCATTTCCTTAAGTTTGCTGGTGGTTTTCCACTTAATCCTTTGGAGGGGCTATTCCTCTCTCAGTGTTTCCTCAGGTACTGACTCAAGACTAAGGGACTCTCTTTCCTTTCATTGTCTTTGACTAGCCAGAAGTGGATTTCCCCATCCCACCAGGCAGAGGCAGGAGTCAGGAGTCAGTGCAGAGCCAGCCCCAGGAGCCCATCAGCATGCCCCAGACACTGACCAGCACACTGGAGCACATTGTGGGCCAGCTGGATGTCCTCACCCAGGTAGGTCGTGACATTAGTTCACCCCATTGTCTGCACTTGGCCTGGCATTTGGACTATTTGAAGTTGGCCAGCAGGTACTGGATTTTTAAAAAACATAATTTTAATGGACCTAGTTTCCAGCCCAAATTAATGAAATAGCGTTGCCTGCCCTGGGGTCCTGCTGACAGAGCCATCTGAGAGCTGGTCAAGCCACTGGACCCCAGAATCACCAACACTGGATCCTGCCAGGATGTGCCCACCCAGGGCTGGCCTGGGCCACAACAGAGCTTCAAGAGAAACACTGTCTGTTCGTTCATTCCACTTTTCACTGGGTGGGCACTCCAGGGACATGCTGGGGAGCTGCAAGCTGTGAGTCAAGGCATCCAAGAGCCCAGGCTCTGGCCTAAAGCTGGCACTGCTCCTTATCCTCTGAGTGACTTTGGAGAAATCCCTTCAGCTCTCCATGCCCTGGTGTGTTTATCTGTGATGTGCAGTGGTCCTGGGCTCTGCTTCCCATGTTTGTGGTAAGGATTAAAGGAGATGAATCTGTGGGAAGTGTTTGGCCTATGCCTGGCCCTCAGTAGCTGCTCAGTAAATGTTAGCTGTGGCACTGACCCTCATCAACGAGACAGATGTGGGCCACGCCCTCTGGAGTGTGCTTTCATCCGGCAGCTCATAACACAGATTTGCAGTGCAGCAGTTTCAGTAAGAGCAAAATGCCCTGACAAGAAGTGTCAGCCAGCACTGCAGCCCTGCCCACTGGGGCATCTCATCCTGGAGTGGGAGAGTGGTCCTGGCAGAGGGAGCAGCCTACTTGCAGGTCTGAAGGGCCATGGGCACATCCAGGCAATGAGCGAAGCCCAATGTGGCTGGCATGGGGCATATAGGTGGTGTTGGTAGCAGGGCCAAGGCAGGATTTAAAGATCCTCGGATCCCTTCCCTCCTTGGCTCTGGGTGCAGACCCTCCGGCCCCTACTCCTGTGCCAGCTCCGGGGTAGAGTGAGGGTGTGGTAGGGACGCAAAGGACCCTTGAGTGTGTGATGGAAATGGAGCTGAAGTGGCATGGCATCCTTTCTCTACCTCTGGATCTGAGGCTAAGTAAGGAAAGCTCCTTCACATCGTGTCACAGTGTCCCAGCTGGTACTGCACACCTTGGATGCACTGAAGGATGGATGTTTGAAGGGAAAGGTCAGGCATGGTTGGCTGGGGGATGGTGGGACTCCTTACAGGCACATCATACAGACATTTCTGCAAGCCTGTTAACCCTTGAGAAGGCGGCATGTGGTAAGAGAGAGAGATGAGCAACATGCAAAGACTTAAAAGAAAAATCCCCTACCTCAAACCCGTCAGAAACTGCCAAGCCTGCCTCCTGTTCTTCACAGCCACATCAAGTGAGAGATCAGGGGAGGTGGAATCAATTAGAACTTTATAGGATAAAATTGGAAATTAAGTCTGAGCAGATGATTAAAAATAGTTTCCTTGGATCCAGAGGAGTATAACACTAAGAACACTTCCCGTCACTGAGTTTTAGGGGCGCACATGGGAGGTTTTGTCCTGTATTGGCAGTTAGGAGAATGATAGTAACATTGTAAGGAACCGGTATCACAGAGAATAAGTGAGGCTCTCTTGTGGCCTTGGCCTGTGGCCGGGGGTTTGGATGTCTCTGTGGCACCCTTGTCCTACCTCACACCGTTCAGCCCCTTTGCAAATCCATACGGTGCTCCACCCCCGACCAGATGCCAAGCCCATCAACCAAAGTGCTTTGCCAAGCAGCGTATATTCCTGAATGCCACAAAGTGCGGCATGTTCCTGATGGACTTGACGTGTCCTGAGGAAACCACAGATGAAGCCCCCAGTTGAGGCCTTAAAGTGCAATCCATTTTCAAAACAGTAGGAGGTGCATTTGCCCCAATCCGCGTGCTCCCCTCCGTTTTGGTCACTGGTTGTTTCCAGGCCCGCCTCCTCTCGTGGAGTTGGGGCTCTAGCTGAGGTATTCCATACAGCCAGAGCTGTCCTCACTGGGCTTGGAGGTTCCCTGCCCCCTCCTCTTGGGACCGGCCTAGCTGAGGGCAGCCCCCTTTCTGGAGGTTCCCTTGAGGCCTAGAGCCGAGCAACCACTGCCATCCTTCTCCCTGTGTGAATAGCTCAGCCCGGCTCTGAGCCTCCTTGGTCTGTGGATATTGGCCTCCGATGCTGCCACTTCGGGGAGGCGCTCCTCACCATCCCAATGTGCCTCTGTGCTCTGGAGGGGTAGGAGTGTCTCTGCCACCCCAACACTGACTGCTCCTTCAAAGTTGTCCATCTGAATCATGCTGTTCTCCTCCATCCCACCCCCCTCATTGCCCCTTCCTCCCCAAGGAAGTCTGCTTCAAAGTGGCCTCCGAGAAAGAAACTGCCTTCGGGGCTGTGTCCTGCAGGACATCCTTCCAGGGAAGAACCATGGGGGCTGCAGTGGGCAGTGGCTGGGGATGTTTACTGAGTGAGTCACAGAGCCTCCAACCCCTGAGTGACATGAGGAGGGCACCCCATTGCAGAGACTCCCAGTCCTCAGAGCCTGCCTTCCTGCTCAACAGACTGGGTGAGGCCCGGTGATCGAGTGCTCCTCTCTCGATGTTTGTGGCCCATTTGGCACTGGTCAGAAGGCCAGGGACTCAGTCTCAGTCCTCCTCAGTGGCACCTCTGTGCAAAGCAAAGGCCCAGAGGTCAGGCAGCTGAGCGAGCCCTTGGAGAGACGTGACTCAGAGCTTTTCTGAGTGCAAATCCTGGCTTTCCCACTTCATAGTTCAGTGACCTTGGGTTTCAGGGCTCCTCTTCTCAGCCCAGTGGGCCACCTGACTGTCAGCCTGGGCACACCTGCCCTCCTAGATTTGAAGGCCAACTGCACCATTCATCACCTGGGTGATGTTGGGTGGGTGATGTCGCTCCCCAGAGCCTCAGTTTCCTGTCTTGTAAGGTGGGGAGAGTCTAGCCAGCTCGTGTCCTCTGAGCACTGTTGTGAAGCTCTTGGTTGACTGGATGGTCTAGACTTGTGCTGGCTGCTTTGTGAAGCACAATGTGAAGTTGTGTTCTCCACAGGGCAGTGGGGACAGCACCAGGGTGGCCAGGTGACATAGGAGTGGCAGGAGTGGACATTCCACAGGCCTCTAACTGCTGGGCTTGAGTCCCAGGAATGCTTTTGAGCTGCCAGTGAGACTAGTGGTCTGGCTAGGCAGTAGGATGAGAGGGAGAGAAAGAAGAAGTCTTTGCCCAGCTACAGGAAGGAAGAGGGTCCAGGAGGTGACAGGGGCGTTGGGGTGCACTGGGTGCTATTGAAAATCAGGGATGGGTCCTAGGGCCCATTAGATGGGAGCCTTAAACCTGGACCCAGGCTTCAGGGGCCTAGATTGAAGCTCTTTGAAGATGTATACTTCTTATGACAGCCATCCCTGAATCGAGTTATTGTAATGGTTTTTGAGGGAAATATATTTCCTAACAAAGGAATTTAGGTTTTTCTTTGGGAGACTCTTTGCTCCTCAGAACCCCTCATGGGAATTCTCAGGAGCTACGAGGGCTGAAGTCATGGGTATGAGTGCTGTGTACTGTGTGTGCCCCCCTCTTCATCTGTTAAGCCTGTCCTGGGCCCCCTCCTGCTCTGGAGAGAGGACACACCTGTCCTGTGGCTGCCCTGGGTCACTGACTTGCTGGGCCTGCCCCAAGTCTTGTCTTCCTGATAAAGTTGGCCCAACCCCAGAGGCCCGCAAGGTCTAGAGAGAAGTACAGACCAGAAATCAGAGGCCCCAGCTGCTCTGGCGCAGCTTTGCCTCTTTCTGTCCCTGTGGACCTGGGTCAGTCTTGGTTTCTTTCTCTATAGAGGGGAGACTTTAAACACTGCCTGTCTGTCTGTCCCATGGAGTGGGCAGCAAAGGTCAGTGTCTCAGGTGGGGCCGAGACTTCCCTTAGGGCCTTCTTTCCATGAGTCACTTCTCATATCCGCCCATGGCCAGGACCCTCCCCTTGTGGCCACACCTAGAGGCAGGACTCCAGGGTGGACCCTGTGGCTGTTGGGTCTGCTTGCTTGGTGATGGGCCTTCAGTGGGTATCCAGACAGAGGCCCAGACTTTTCCCCTCGTGTTTTTGTGAGGGTGCCACTGAGTGATTTGGAGTCCCTTTCACAGATGCTGGAAAACTAACCAGTGAACAGGGAGAGGCTGTTTTCCACAGCTAGCTTTGCTGCATGAGCTCACCTCCTGCATGGCTCCCTTTGCTTCCTTCGCAGGCTCCTGAGTGACAGACATTTGCCTGGTGTCTGGAAGTTGCAGAGGCCCTGGGTCTTTCTCACGTGTGAGGAGGTGGGATGCAGAGATGTGGACAATACCCAGGAGCTGGGGAGGCTACAGTGAGGGGCGCAGGCCCCACAAGCAGCTTGGTGGTTTTGCCTCAGAAGCCCACAGCAAAGTTATTTTTGACTCCAGTTTCACGTCTTGCTGCTTTTTAAAAATACCAAGCCATGAAATTCCTGTTCCAAGTGTGTTTTTTTATGGCACCCGTGCTGATTCAGGCTGGCCACAGCAATGCTATGATGTCACGTTCAAGTTCCTGTGACTCACTGGGGGCTGCTGGCCTCCGGGACTGGAACATGCACGTGGTGGGAAGCAGGCAGGGGCCCCCCATCCCTGCTGGTTTGAGTTACTGGCATTTAGCTTTGTTAAATGTCCAGGTTGTTGTAACTCTGCTGTCCTAACTCAACAAGGCTGAGGACTTTTGCCTGTTTGCTTTTGGGAGTTGGGTAGAAGGCCCGTTTGCTTTGAGACACCTCGACCCTCCCCTCCATGGTCCCAGCAGTTCCCTGTTGGATTGGCTGCTCAGGTCTGGTTCCTTGCTGGTGGGGAAGGTGGGAACCTGGGCCCGCCGTGGCATGGGCTGAGCTGCCTGACCACTCTCAGGGGCTCTCAGTGTTCCTTTTTCCTGGGCAGACAGTTGTTGCTTACGGAAACAGACTGCAGATTTTAAAGCAGCTACACCATTTTCTCTGGGGGCTGGTC